GAACTTTATTCATTGAACAATAGTACAAGATAGTGCGCATTTGTGAAAAAATGGACACAATCATGGGTGTCCTCCTTCTGTTCTCATGGAGACTCATCTATATAAGCATAGATGAAAGTTCAGTGCTTTAGAGATAAATTTAGGTTACTTTACACCATGTGGCAATATGTTTACTCTATATGCACAAGTGAAAGTTCAGTTGCTTTTGTGACAAAATTAGGTTATTTTACACCATGTTGCAATATGTTTCGTCTATATACATAGCTGAAAGTTCAGTTACTTTTGTGACAAAATTAGGTTACTTTACATCATGTTGAGCTGAAAGTTCAGTGCCTTTGTGACAAATTTTGGTTATTTTGCATAATGTTACAAAACATTGTAACAACTGGTTATAATAAAGAATTTTCGAATTAATTTCTTCTTTTTGATTTTAAATTCGTATTATTGAATAGAACAACTTAAGTCAAGACACTTGCAGGGTGCAAATTTGCCTGCATGAAAATTTCATAAGTCATGCAAAATTTCACTTCTAATTATAATATAATTTGTTTTTGAAAATATGAATATAGAATTTTAGTATTTTAGTAATTATAGATGTTTAAAAGTAAAGAATAAAAGGATTCTAAANTTTAAAAACTAATGTATCAGAAAACATTAATTTTCTCAATTTCTGTGTTTTGGACTTAACCGCATTGGCTTCTGAGCGACTCAAATATTACCGGTGTATTCCTTCATTTATGGTTTGCTTGTGAGGCAATGTGTAGTCAAGTTTGATACACTAGAAAAATTTATTATAAAGACATTAATTAAATTTTCATGTAATTTTACCTTTTTTAAATTTTTCCTGCATTTTGTAAATAATTAAAAGTCGTGTGTCAAAGCAGAGTTAAGGAGTGTAAGGTTTGCTATTTTTTTAGAGTTATCTTTAATAATTTAGGTTTTCATCTAAATTTAACTATATATTTCGCAGAAAAAGAAAAAAAATTATATACTTAAGTTTCGAAATCATACACAAAAACGTACTCTGAATAAGCATATTTTCTTTTCCACGGATTTGGATTTCGGAGCCAGCAATCTTGGAAGCAGCAATCCTTGAAGGAGGTGCCAGCAATCTTGGAAATATTGTGCTAACGATTTTGTCAGGAGCGCGATCCAGAGTTTGGACCAATTAATTTTGAGTATTTCACCCTATCTCGAGAAATTTTTTCAACAAATAAAAAAAAATTGCTCACATTATTAAATTTGTTTATCGTACGATAATTACTATCGTAAAGTACTGGGTGAAAAAAAATTGCTGGAAAAGGTGAATACATGGTCATTCCTCAATACCTTCAATATAAAATCGTAAAAATCTAGAAAAAGGAGCACAAAAAGCTTAATACCTTAATAGTCCGTTGAAAAATAAGGAACAGTCTGCAACCAATATAATTAATAGGCCTGTCAGGAAAGAAGGTGGTGATCTGTTGGACACATGCACATATTGGACACATTGCTTAAATAAAACATACGTTGATTGAATCAACATTAAATGGAAGATGCATTGCTTAATTCGCATAACAAGAAAAAACAGGTCATTTTGTAAACGGGCCGTCTTTGTTTTAGGCTCAATAAAAAGGAGTTGATGCCAAAAAATTTCAATCATTTTGAAGAAAACAGCAGATGAATTTAAAATCGTCGATTATTTCGAGGAAAACAGCCGATGAACTGTTAGTTACGCCATCCATCCTACCGGGGAAGATGGAAAAAGAAAAAAAAATCTCCGTTTAACGGAGACGGGATCAAGAAAAAATTACGAAAATCGAATGCCTGTGTTTCCTAGTCTTAGACCTCTCGGTTGGTCAAGGTGCCTGAGGCCGGAGTGACCCTTTACCCCATCATCATGTGATGGTGGATCCATGTGGTGAAACCTTGAGGTCCTTGTATCCTAAAAATAAAAGTAAGGAATTAGTAGTGAGCACATTGCTCGAGTGATATCATAAAAATGATACATTTTTGCAATAAAGTAAATAAATACGTAAAAGTAATAACACAAAGTATACTTCTGGTAAGAAGTTTGTCAAAATTTAATTGTGATTCCCAGGTACAATTCTCTTACTCACTTCACAATCTCAACATTCTCACATTACATCTAAAGATTTTCCTTACATTTCACAGTTCCCTTCTACTAAGGCATAGTCAAAATTTTTACAAATCAGGTTGATTTGCGCCAACGCTTTCACAATCTTTCTTTTTGTATTTTGTCTTTATATGATTTCATATATTTAACAGTACCATTTGTATATTTATAAGAGCCATATATATCTTTATTAATGCCATTGCCATATAATGTTTATTCACTATATTCGCGTCATTGAGTTTACTCACATGGTCAGTTGTTGTTGTAGTTCATTTAAGTCGCACTAGAACTCACACGGTCAGAGTTACATCACTTGCGAAAAAGTGCGACTGGCCTCAGGGAGGCGCCTTCAGCAAAATTTTCGAACTCAAAAATTGAGTCGAAATTTCGGCTTTTCAGTCAAACGCTTTCTTAAAAAAGTTTCGATTTAGTTTGTTTAAGTGGTGATCGAAGCTGTCAATCTCTACTTAAACAAACTAAATCGAAACTTTTTTAAGAAAGTCCGAGTTTAAGAGTCGTCTGTCCCTTAAACGCTATAAACGAGATGCAGTTGGAAAAAATAGAAGTTACGGTTAAGACAGAAATAAAAAGATAAAATGAAAGATAAAGAGTTTAAAAAAATAAGGTAGTTACGGTTAAGAAATAAGAAAAAAGTGTAGAAGTAAAAGATTACGCAGGGAAACATCAAAGAAAGCCGATGCACCTGCCTTTCTACGAATTTGAGGGCAGCAAACCACTTCCGTAAGAGAAGGTTTAAAAAATACAATATTGATTGAAGGAACTCTGTAAATTTAGATCTAAAGCAAATAGTGAGTGACACAATTACATGCACACACAAAAAAAACATTTTAATTAGTATTTACAATTCTTTATTATTCTATTTAATAAAAAACGGTAAATTTTTTAATCGTAAGGTATACAACTGCTTACATTATTTAAAAAAATATAGTTTTATAAGGCATTATCCAAAATTTGGCCGAAATCGGTTGAATAATTCCTGAGAAATTGAAATTTAAAATACAGCTTTTTTTTTTAAATTTGATTACAAGGGACTGATAATTTGACTGATTTCGTTTAACTTTTGCCTTTTACCATTTAAAATGAAATTCTTTAAAGCAATAATAAATATTTTAGATACCTTACTACTCAAAATTGTTTTGACTATTATTATGTAAAATTATAAAAATTAAACAATAATTAATGTTATTTTTTACATCGAATTATCTTAAGAAAAATTAATTTTATAACTGTGTGCAAAAAGTTTTCAATTTGCTCAATAATCTCTCGAGATAGGGAGAAATAGGGAAAATTGTGATAATATTAAATGGTCCAAACTTTTTACCGCTTCCCTGATCGAACTATTTGGATCAAAAATCCCAAATTGCAGTTGCTCCCTACAGTCTGAGGATCAAAATTTGTCAAAAAAAAATCAAGTTCAAAATAATAAAAAAATAATAAAAATTTTAAAAAAAGGTATGTTTATTCCGAGAAAGTACGCTTTCGTGTCTGACTTCATAACTTTTATTGTCGTTTTCTTTAATTAATTAACACAGTTGAGGTCACCCCCTCAAACCTTTGAGATTGAGTCCTAGGACATCAAAATCCAGTCTTTGTATCAAAAGTTATTCAAGGTATTTCGTTTATTTTTTGCGTACTGTACTTAAAAATTATACGGTAAATAGCACAAGTCATAAATATTGTAAACAGTACAAATACCGTCACATTAAGATGGAGTGTTTTTTTTTAGCTTAGATGAAAAAATACCATAGAAGTAATTGCTGGGAAATCTTGCAGGCAATTTTAACTGGTAACCCTAACTGTACCTTAGCTTTATACGATTAACCTTCCCTGTACAAAAGAAAAATATGCTTATAATTTAATTAATAAGAAATACTAAGAAATAATTTTACTAAGTTACTAAGAATTAAAAGATTTCATAATTTAATCTTAAAAAGAAAAAAAACAAGAGTACAAGATTTTTGCTATCTTAACTAACAACATTCCTGTGCAATAATTTATGCTAAGTCAATAAAATGTGTTCTTTTTTCTTTTGTCTCATATTACAGGTGTAGGAGAGATATGTCAGGCGGACGACCCTTCCAATGCTGCAGCAGCTGCGTCTCATGGCGGTGATAGAAATAGAGCAGATGCCCCAGCACGTTGCGGACCTGGTTTGGTTTGCAGCTATTCGTTTAAAGATTCTTACCGCAGATGCCTAATCAAACCATAGAAGTCAAAATACGTGTACAGAAGACAATTTCAAAGATGCGTACATCAATTTTTGTAAAGTATCTCCACAAAAATGTTGAATAAAACATTTATATATATAGTTTTTATTGTATTTATAGAAATCTGTTTCAGCTTTTGTACAAAAAAATTCATATTTATGACATATATTTTTTGAGCCTGTAAGAAAAGTGACGTTGTTTAGTGTCCCTGTATATCACCTAGGTTTAGAGAGTTACAGCAGCTTGAGAGATATCTGCTATAAAGGTTGCGAAAAAGAATTATAACTTAGTCGGTTGCCACACTTGACGAATTTTTTCTCAAATCCATTCTCTTATTTCCTGTTTAAAGGTTTATATACGCAGTAGAAAATTGGCGTAATAGAAGTAAAAAAGAATTAGACACTAATAAGGATACGGAAAAAAATAGGATTAAGTTACGAAGATTGTCATCGCATTATTGCTATCATACCCATTAATCCAAAATTATTATTATCATTTATTTATTAGATAAATATTTAGAATAAACGCTTTAACATTTCGAATCATCGGTTGTGATAACTGCATAATTGATATTTGTCTTCTTCTCTCCCAATAATTTGAATTCCTGCTAATATACGTTTCTTTAGACTTCACGAAATTCGTTTCTTTTTCAGTATTCATATTTGCATTACAATCACCACCTAGACAGTAATCATGAATAAGGTAATCATAAAAAAACTTTAAATTTATATTTTTTAATAACATTAAAAATCCATTTTGATGAAAAGAAAGAGAAGGTAAAGAAACAGAGCCTGGAAAACAACTCCAAGAAATTCACAGATTATCGTCTGAATATCTTTACTTTAATTTGTGTTACTTTTTTCATTAAAATACTCGTACAACTTAACTCGTAAATTTTTGAATATGTAGTTGATGAAGTTGATCTAGACTAAAAATGTGCGGACATGAAAAACCTGAAACATTACTCATTTTCTCAATGGGTAATAAACAAAAGAAGCTCCCTTGATGATATGGCAGCAGTATTAAGATGCATCAAGCTACTTTTTCACTAAACAAGAAACACAATATTAAGTCAAATTTAATTAAATCATTTATCACCTGCATTAGTTCTTCAAATATTAAAACATAACTTTCTCCCTCCTGCCAAAATGTTTGCAAGGAATAAAAATAACTTCTTAGCATAAAAATAAATATTTTACAATTTTTTTTTTATTTGGTATAGAATATCAAAAATACTTTCATAAAAATGCAAAGTATAGAACTATCCTAACCTTAAAATTTAATTACTTCAGAAAATAAATTATTATCCAGCTATAATATTTGCGCGTAATATGATATTGAGTTGAGATTAATTTGAAAAGTGAGAAAAATGAATAAGTGCTTCTAATTTTGAGATTAACATATAAAAAAATTCTTGTGAATGAACTCATGTTAAGTCGACGATAAATACTTGTTTCATTTATTTTCGGTAAATTTCGACCCTCAACCAAATAGGGAGTGCTAACCTAAGAGCTCTTCTTATAAATAGGCTTGTAAATATAACGAAACATATTTTAAAATAATGAAATTAATATAATCTTCATTATTTTTATTGCATATGTCCTTATGTACTGATACTTAAAAAAATTTATTATAACAGATTACTGCCATGGTGATAATATTAATAATGGAACTAATATGCATATTTGTTTCTCGCAAATTAGTACGACAAGGAATTTATGTAGCCATTCATTCCGACAGGTCTATTTAGTTGTTTGGTCGCTAACCTCATGTCAGAAAAATTGCATGTTCTAATCCTAGTCAGTGTCAATGATCTCCCTTAAGAAAATTTGTCATAGGAACGCCTATGTTAATCTATGGTAAGCTATGGCAACCAAAGAAACTGATGCCTTAGAAGAAAGCAAGATGCCTTAAGCCTATGGCAACCATAGATATTCGTACGGCATTTACATGGCAAGATGACATACGTCTTTGGTAGCCATAGAATTTGTAATGGCGTCGTGTTGTTGCGGAACTTCTGCATGCTCGCGGGGGTCCTACACGATATTAGACAGGTATACCAGTTTTTTTGGCTCTTCAGTGTGTATATATATATATATACATAATAATAAAAGCGGCTGTGTGTGTGTGTGTAATCACAAT